GTGTAATTTGATTTGAGAATTAAAGAATCAGTGTAATTTGATTTGAGAATTAAAGAATCAGTGTAATTTGATTTGAGTGTTAAAAGTTAAATTAGGGTCACGTGCCAAACTATCGCTCACATGACCTTGAGCCAATAAGAAAAAAATCAAAAACGCGTGTTTGAAATTGAGGTGAATTCTTCACCTATCTAAAATATACACTTCACGATTGTTTATGATAGATCAACTATCCGTTTTCTTTTTTAAGTTCTGGTATTCCCCTATAAAAAATATAAAAAATGGATTAATCTGGACAATGTATGGGACATCCTATACATGAAGGTAGATCATTGTCATTGTTGTTATTGTTATTATTGTTATCGTCATCACCACTGCCATTGTCATAATTATCTTCGAAAAAATCAAAATTATCATGTGATAGTTGTAGTGATGGTTGTCGCGATGGTGTTGCGCGATCCTTAATCAAAGGATTTAAATCCATTATAAATTAGCATGTGATCTTAAAAATTATATATTATTATTGGTTAATTAGATGCTAATCATGAGTAATACATTAAAAATTTTTTTTCTAGGATTCATCCTTATTTTTAGAATCTATCCTTATTTTAAAGATCCATCCGAATTCATCCTTGGTTGATCCTAAATTTTAAGGATAAGGATTTATAATTTGGATTTATCCAGATTGAATTTGGATGATCCTTTAAATTAGGATTGCAACACTAGTTGTGATGGTTGTGATAGTTGTGATGATGATTTATTTTTTCAATGTTTTTTAGTTACATGACCGTAATTGTAAGTAATGTTTGATCTTTTACTGTGAAGATTATATGGTTTTGATGGTGTTGTTGTTGTTGCTATTGCTGGTGATGATGATGATGATGATATTGTTGTATTATTATCATCATTGTTATTGTTGTTACTATTATTATCTTCGCCAACATTGTCAATATTACTGTTATTGTCATTGTTAATACCATCATTGTCAAACATTAGAATATCATAATCATCACTACCATCATGTATAGGATCTGAATCTTCATCCATTTCCTGGTTACTTTGATTCTGCATTTTTACTTTTTCTTAAATTTTAGATAGTTTGTGCTGAAGGTGTGATAGTTCATCCTGAATGTGATATTTTTCTGTTTTTGTTTCTAATTTCAGAAGAATAATTAAGAATAATTATAAAACTAATATATAAATGCAAAACAAGTAACTTTACTCACCATTTTTACATTCATCAATTATTTCATTCCAATAAGTTTCCAAGTCATTTTTAGCACATGTTCATTTGGAATTGAACTATTGCAAGAAAAGAATTTATCAATGTTAACAGGGTGTAATTTTCTATTTAATGGTAAGGACATGTTAAAAATCAAATGGTTTAGGGTGAGCCCTATAGTATGGAGAAATCAGTTGATAAATGGCAATACCAAAAGGAAGACACAAAACTGATTCCACCTCCAGAATCAGCAGACCTTTACCAATGACAAAGTTAGGGTGCCTGAGTAGAGGACTTGGAGTGGTTGCCAAGCTGTCATACCCAGTAGTTCTCCTAGGCAATGCGTACTTCGACTATAAGTTACCCTAACCTTGCAAAATAAAAAAATACACACCTTTTCTTTTAAATCTTCACCAAGTCTTCTCGCCTCTCTTATTAATCTAACAGTTCAGGTGTTATCAAGTTCCTTACAACGGGAAGTAGCTGTAGCAGTGGAAACAATCGCGTCTCGATGACGACACAAAAAAACCCAATAAGATTTATTTCCGCGTTGTTTTAAAATATTTAGTAATGTGTTCAGACATGATATAAAAAGTAGTAAAAATATATAGAAAATACAAAAAACGCGAGAAAACTACGCGAAATTCAGGAGTTAAAAATTTTTACAAAGAACACGAGTATATCACTGTTTCACGTTCCAATAATTTATATGAGCGATTACTATCCGATTTTTAATAAATGCTATTTATCATCCGGGTCTAGGTTAAGGATACATTTCTTAAAAAATATATTAACTCGTTATATTAATGTATTTAATGTATTGTAAGAATAATAAAAAAAAGAATTAGTCTGCCTTTAGTTAGTTAATTAATTAATTAAATTAAAATATTTAATACCAAGAGTTCTATTTTCTAAAATGATGATAATGTACTGTAATCCTAGAAATTCTAAAATTACCTTTGGTAATCCAGGGAGAAAAAATAAAAAAAAATGAATTTATTTAATATACAAATTAAAAAAATAAATAATATCATTGTAAATATACCTCTATTTATCATAAATAAATTATCAAATTTTATCTTGAAAAATAAAAAATTAAAGATTTCTCTATACAGATCCCTTTGTTCACATTATATCAAGTCAAATAAAATAAAAAAAAAAATTCTAATGTACAATACAAATTAAATAATGTTTAAGAAAAGGACAGATAGAAATGTTCTAACAATAAATTAAAGAAGCGTTCTAGCGCCTCTACGTTTTAAATTTAAGTAATAAAAGTAAGGTGAATTGGTAAATAGCCAACTATAAGAAAATTATAAGTAATTAATTCGCTTTTCTATTATCCGAATTTTCCACTTTCTTCTTTCTGTAGATCATAAACGACATAATCACTATATTCTAAATAATATTTTTTTTTAATATTACAGATTATAATAAATTACGTATAATACTCACAGCGTCCCAGTCTTTATTCCATTAGCACCATTAGAATTGATTGATGCTAATTTTTCTTTTTCTATTTTCTTATTTTCTGATTTTGATTTTTTCTCTTTTTTCTTTTCTTCCTTTTTCTTTTCTTCCTTTTCTGCTGCTTTCTTCTCTTTCTTACTTGAACTTGGATTACTATTATTATTATTAATTTCCTCAGCTAATGATTCTAAATTAGCTTTTTTTTCTTCTTTGTCCTCCTTCTCTTTATCTTTATCTTTTTTTTCCTTGTCTTTATGAGATTTCGAATTGGACCGTGAAGCAAACCATGATCGTTCTTTTTCTTGTGATTTTTCTTTTTCATTAGATGATTGTTTCTCGTGTGTATTATTTTGATTTTCATCATTGTCTTTTGAATTATTATTATCTGGGTCAACATGAGATTTTCGTCTTGAATCTGAATTATTGTCTTTTTTTCTTACAGGACTAAGTTGTTTGATCATTTCAGAAAATGAAGGATCTCTTATTGGAGTTTTACGTTCATTCCGTGATTCGTCATTATTATTATTATTATTATTACTATTACTATTACTACTACTACTATTATTATTATTATTATTATTATTATTATTATTATTATTATTTGTAGTATTGTCCATAGTATTATTATTTATTGCATCCGTTACAATCGGATCATTAGATTCGATTGGTTGATCAAATTCTGCTGAAGAGCTAGATCCTGGAGCATTATTGTTCGTCCATAAAGCATTCGGTGGTGATAAACCAAGTGAACTTAAATCTAAATCGCATGCCTGATAAAATAACACATAACCTGATCCAGATCCTGGTTCACCAAAATATTTTTGTATTTCACTTTCATCAACTGACTATAATATATATAAATAAAGGAAATTTTAAATAAGAATAATTTTTTTTATTTTAATTAAATTGTTTTTTACTTGATATTTACCTCAACGGAATCATCATCAAATAGAAGCCATTGTCCCATACTCTTTACCAAGGTCACATAATGGCCATGATATGGTCCACTGTAATAAATAAGAATATATAAAAAATATAAATTTTGATATTATATAAAAAATGTAATGTAACCTTTCATTCAATTCACCTTCCAATATGTACACAAATTGCATAAAGTTCATACAGACGGTCCGGATCTTCAGTATCATCACACTATTAAATAAATAAATATATATATACATTCCTTTAGAATCAAAGGTGTTGTTTATTTATATCTAAAAAATAAATAAAATTATGACAATATAAAAATTCTTACTGTATTGAATAGTCGTAATTCAAATGGAAAAACAACTCTATATGCCAATTTTACGTTTCGTTGTAATTTCTCATGATATTTGAAACGTTTCAGATGAAGCGCGAGAACATTGGGTAATTTTTTAATTTTCATTCTAATAAAAATAATATATGCCAAATTTTAAATTAATATTTTTTAAAAGCCAATTTTGATCAGAAAAAAAAAAAAGTATGAAATAATTAATCATAAAATTTGAATCCATTTTCATGTACCTCTTTTCTGCTTCTTGTAGACCACAACATACATCACAAAAAAATTTATTCTTATGACACAACATCTCACTTGCAGAGAATTGCCGTAAACATGATGTAACTGATGAATTTGGTTCAATATCAATGGAAAGGTCAAGAAAAGATTCATCTCTGCTCGTGACCTAATATAATAGTAATAAATTGGTAAATAAGAGAGTACTAACCAAAAAAAAAAACTAATAATAATTAAAAAAAAAAAATAACTAACAGTTTCACAAGTTAAACATTTGGTTTCGTTTGTTAATGTGCCTTCGAAAAGTTGGTGTACCCACGTTGTATTCGTCGTGTTTGTACTAGACGTTGTTTCTGAACCTTTAAGTGAATTTTCATCTGCTATAATATATAATAAATAATAATATAATAAATATAATATAAATATATATAAACATAAATATATGATAAATAAATTGTCATTTTCAAATATTTTTGATTATTACCTGAATTACCATTTTCCTCACCATTACTCTGCGTTGGAGACTTTACGCTAATATCACATTGCTGTTCTTGTTCACGTAATTGCTTTTCGAGTTTCTTCTGTTGTTCCATAACATTTTCGGCTATAGCGTTAAGAACATAATTCAAAAATTCGTGGGCATCTTGATGTTGCGTTGACCGAAAAAGTTCTATTTGATAACCCAAATTTTTCAATAATAATACATTTACATAAAACCTATAATATATATATAATCATAAATAATTATATCTAAGTTAAAATTAATTTATAAATTTAATAAATACCATTTTCTTTTTTTATCTTGGCAATAAAATGATTTGGTGCTAAAACACCTTGTCGTTTTTTTTGACTATTTATTTTCCAAAATAGATCTTTCAAAGCACTGAATAACGTGTCTTCCATTCCTTGTACCGACGTCGAATTAGAATCTCCATTGACTAAATATAAATAAAATAAAAAATTTTTAAATAGAATATAGAATGAATTAATAAATTATAAAATTATAGTTTTGTAACGTATCTCATAAATTTAAAAATTTCATTATATAATTCAAAAAAAAAATAATAATAATAAATAAAAAAATGATTTACCTTTATTATCTCCATTGTTATTTGTTTCTTTTTTACTAGCAATTCCATTTGTGAGGGTTATTGTTGTTTGTGTATTGGTTGGTGATAATGGTGTAGAAGAAGAATTTGCCATTGGAATCATTTGTACATTTGGAAATCTGACTACACATTCTCGAAAAGGTTTACAAAAGTAAAGGGCTTGTAAAATTGAATTACAATAACTAAATATTTTGAATATTTTAGAATATTATAAAATTTTCATGAGTAATTTATTTCATTTCGAAATAATACATAAAAATATAATTCTTTTGAATATTCGAAAAAATTGTACTTACCAGGTATTACCGAACTGAAATAATAGTTTATCGAGAATGAAGTTTTAAAGTATGAATGCTATTTAGGTTAGGGTTTCTGTAAATCTCAAAGTCCAGCAGTAATCTTTAACAATATAATCTTTGTTAAAACTCTTACATTCTCTAAGCCAAAGTACTTCTCAGACCCACTACCCCAAGCTTCGTTAGCCGATGTCTTTCCAGAAGGTGCCTAACAAAAAAAAATTATATATATTAAAATTATATTTAAAAAATTATATTAAAATTACAATCGCCAGAAATAAAAAAAAAAAAAAGAAAATATGTATGCTTTTAAAAATAAACTATAATAATAAAGTACCATTCCCATCCATTTTAAAAGTGACATTTTTTATTCTAGTTTTCTCAAAGAAAAAAGAGAGCGATAGTCAATACTTTTTGCTTTATTGAAATCAATATTTATTTACAATTTAAAATGGTGGTTTAAGCTAAATTAAGAAATAACTGCGACATAGAAATTTTATATTATCAGTTATATCAAAAAAAAAATTTTTTGTTCTTATTGGTGGTCGGACTAACAAATTGCTTTTTTCTTTTCGCTACAAAAGAGTAATATTCGTACTTTTTGTCAAACGAATCTCCTAGCCTATAATATATTCTAATCTCAAATTTAATCTTTTTTTTTTTTGAAGAAATCTATTGTTTGATAAATCTAATAGGACAATAAGTGAACACCCAGTTTTCTTGTCCACGCGAAATTCCATCAATTTTCTGATGAAAAAGATGTAAGATAATAATACAATTGGAGTCTTGCTTCGGAGGTGTAAACTCTAACAATAATAGATTAACATAACAAAAATAATATTTATTTGATGATTTAATATGAACTGAGATTCCTCATGTGAATTTTATCAAATATGTGAATAATGCATGCAAGAATTAAATATTACAATTGTAATTATAAAAACAAATAATTAACATTGTAGAATTAACATAATTGCCACAACAAGAATTAATTACAATTGTAATTAATAAAATTAATAAAATTAATAAAATTAATAAAATGTAATAACTAACATAACAAGAAATTATAAAAAGTAAACTGGCAGTAACTATATAGGTGTAACCATTATCGAAATGATTAATGATTTGATTAGTGATTAGCCAATCAAAATAAATATTATTTTTAACGTAGACCCTATCCTTTATTAGCTTATAAATAGATATTGAAAATTTATAAATAAATAAATAAATATAAAAATCGATTCTAAATAACTTTAATTAATGGCTCAAAGTAGGTTTTAATAATAAAATTTTGTGCTATTTACATTTAAAAAAAATAATAATTTTTGTCCCTTGGTGTACCGTACACAGTGTTCATAATATATTACTCCAACATCTCATCTTTGTTAACAATAATAAAAATTATCTGATATGTAAAATTCGCGTTCAAACAATTTTACATTTAAATTTGTTCTTTAAAAATATTAAAAATATTTTTTTTGATCATCACCTATTAAAATTTACTGAACAAAATTTGATAGATATTCTATTTATAAATTGACTGCTTATATTAGTAAAACCAATCAATCATCATATTTTTTTTCCATTTGATATTTCAAAAATAATATCTATTTATTAACATTTGTAATATTCAAGAAAATTTCAATTTTCTCATATTAATATTAATTTTTCTTCAAGTGTTATTGAAGTCTGAAAAAAATTATAAGCTAAAAATATATATATATAAATGATAAAAAAAAACAAAGAAAATGGTAGTAAAATGATGAAAAATATATATAAATTATTTAAACTCAATTAAAAAAATTGATAAAAAAATTAACTTTTTGCTATGGTGTAGAAAGTCTAAAGACATCACACTTTTTAAATTGTTATAACTCTTGTTTTTAAATATAGAAATTTAAAAAAAAAATATGTTATTTGATAGCCTTAGATAAGCTCTACAATTTAACATATTTTTTTTTATATTTTTATTATTAATTTATTGTTTTATTAAAGTTTGAAAATAATATGTCATGATATAAAAATAAAAATTTCAGTAATAAAAAACCTTTGCCAATTGGCCAGATTTTTCATGGAAAAATGTGATTTATATTTCAAGCAATATTATTGGTTTTGTTTTACATAAAACATATGAATTTATATGATTGCTGTATGTTTAATAAATCAATGTTGTCATTAATAAATCAATGTTACCATTGCACATTTAATAAATCAATAAAGCTTAAAATTACATTATAAATATTTTTTATTAAAAACATTACATTAAATTTTATTTTTTAATAATTATTTCCAAACTCTTAATTATTTTGATCTATATATTCAAACTCTTCTAAAATACTTTCTGGAATATGACAATGTGACCAATATTTTTTAACTGCAAAAATAACAGCTTTTTCCAAAAGGCCTTGTTTATATGCACTCATATATCAGTTAGATCAATATGCAAATCAACAAATTTGCATTAATGAAATGGAATTTAATGCACATGAAATGATTTCTTTAAGGCCTTTAAACATATAATCACAATGTAAACATGAATATCATTTTACATCTCTTCAGAATAACTCAATAAAATTAAATTTGCAATGAAATTTTGGACAAAAAATGTACATATGCCTGATGGCTTCAATAATTTCTTACAAGTGATTTTTTTGAAAGGTAAAATCAAGTTGTTGACTAAAAATACAAGTTACACAATCACTGGTCAAAATAGAAAATATTAGACACCTATCGTATACCTATCGAAAACTCAATAGGCATATAATAGATGTTCGATATTAATAATTATATAATATATTAGATACCCAATTGGTGAGGTCAAAATACAGAAGTTCGGACACTTATCAAATCCATATTGGTTTCATATCGGATATTAATATTTTAACATTTTATTCAAATTCATCATTCATATATTGGACACTCAATTTTATTTATTTTTTTTATCAAGTACATATCTTTTATAAATTGACCATAATATATTTCTATATATTGAATACGGTATATCTTTATATATCAAGTAGTTTTTTTCCCTCTATCGGATATCTATCAATACCTTTTATTTATATATATATTTTTTCACTTTTTTTTATTTACAAATAATCATAATTTTAGTTTATTATAAAAAAAGATAATAAAATGAAATATATTTATTATGAAAAATATAAAATGAAATATATTATATATACTATATAAAATATTTATATTTAAATCTATCTAATTATTTTTTTGATTTTTTTTTAATGTTTCTTTTTTTCTTTTTTTTTTTCTTTTTGTTTTCTTTTTTTATTACTAGTTTCTACTTCATAATTATTATTATTATCTTTTCATTTTCTTTTTTTACTACTTGTTCCTACTTCATGATTATTATTATCATTACTATTATTATTATCATCATCTTGGTCAGTGGTATCTGAATTATAGATCGGAATGATTCTATTTTTTCACTTTAATTTTTTAAGTGCTACTATATTTAACATCCAAATTGAAGTGTTTTTTGATATTTTTACTTCTGTTAGTGTATATCGTAAAGATCTGATTTTGATTTTTGATACTTTCAACAGTTTGTACATGATATCAATTACTAGGTTAATTCTTTTGTACAGTAACTTTTTTAACTATAAAATATCATTTATTAATATCATACCTAATAGATGTAAAAACATTATTACCATTAATCTACTTACCAAATTAGATCGCCACCATTTATCTTTAAAAAAATCAATATTATTGTTTTACATAAATAAGTAGTAGTGGTGACAGTGGTGGCAGTAGTAGCAGCAGTGGAGATGGTAACATTCGTAATAACATTAATTCTACTTCTACTATTATTACTACTATTATTATTATCATTATTGTCATCATTATTATAATTATATAATAATAATAATGTGTCATTATTATTATTATCATTATTGTTATTATCATTATTATTATCATTATATTATTATCATCATAATTATTACAATTATTATCATCATCGTAATTATTATAATTATTATCATCGTAATCATTATTACAATTATCATCATTATTATAATTATTATAATAATCATCATTACTAATATCTATAATCTCAAATTCTCCTAATGAATCTTGTTTTGTAAATTTAATAAATTAAATTAATTATAAACAAAAATAATATAAATATAACTTGTAAATAGTACCTT